CATCTACAAACAAAGGCATTCCACTACTAACACAGTCAGTTCAACAAGAGACTATCAATAATATCTAATGACTGAAAGTATTGCTCTCCACAAGTATTATCCAGATTAGTCAAAAATATTCAGATACCACAAGAACAAACAGGTCACAACAAAAGTGACGTTCATGAAAATATCAACATGAGGCCATGAATTATTTCACAATTGTTGTTCTCCTGTATTTAAACTTTTAAGATCTGAACAAATCATTTTAACTATTTATACACAGAAGAAGAAAGCCATTTAATAATAAAATTTCCTCTTATTCATTACATCAACTGCAACACTCACAATATTATTCTATTTTAACTACTATCTTCTGACACGTGAGTATTCACTATCCACCTGAAGACTGTTCAATGGAACTAAAACATGTAGTGAAATAATAATAAATACTGAGATAAAAGTATATCACCATTTGTTTTGTGTGGTCAATATATACATATGAACTCTGTTAAACATGTTATAATACTTTCATGTTACTTCTTACAAGTAAATGATAACTTCTGTCCAGTTTTCAATGTCACACTACCATCTGAAATTGAATAATAAAGGATAGGATAAATAATATAAGGCATATTGCAAACCTCACATTCGTGTGATGCATTCTCACGAGTGTGAGAACTGAATTTTACTCACACACAAAATCACAGGAAGTGCCATAAAACATCTGACAGTGCCTATGCAGCTTTATAAAGCTGACCAAACAGTATTTCAAAATGATGAAAAATACGTGTATTTCTATCCCACAGAGTTGACAGCACTGAACAGCTCATATTTTGCCATTAAAAAAAAAACCAAAAAACAAATAGAATTACTAAATTCATTAAAGATGTTACTGATTTGTGACTATACTGGGAGAAATAAAGTTACTCATTGACAAAGGCTGATCAAACAGCATCAAGCTTGAATGTGTAAAGACAAAGACACTGTGCTTACAAAGATTTGGAGGACTGGGATGGAATCTCCTTCAGAGTAGATTCCTTCAGCAAGTATACTTCCACCCTGAAGATGGAGGCAACATATTCCTCTAAAATGTCAGTTACTACCGACACTATAAGCTGTCGAAACAGAGAAGACCACAATATGAAGTATACACATGTTTGACTGTTCCTGCCAATGTAATGAAACAGACATTGCTCAGATATCCACCATGCCAAAATCTTGTTTTAAATTGGCTTGACATGAACTGTATGAAATTCATACCTCTACAGCAGTTTCACAGACAAAAAATCTGCTGTTATTTTACACTAAACCATGCACTTCTACTTCTGGTTCATCTTTTATACTTGTTAAAGAGCATCCATGACTGTCACTGCTTGACATACACTTCTCTTGAAAAAAAAAAAAAAAAAAAAACAAAAACAAAAAAACAAAAAAAAAAACCCACTCTAAAGCTCATTTTGGCTCACTGCTGCAGTTCCAAATTCTATTTGAATAAATTGATATATTTCTGTCCTTCCAGTAAAATGTAATGCATATGCACTATTCTGTCTTTTTAGGCATCATTAAATCATGTGACCTTTAAATACCTAGTTAACTCCAGAAGCACAGTTTTTTAAGATGATGACATCACTCAGCCAGTCACTGAATTGCCTTCTTTTATCAAACAAGATTCTGACATGAACCAGGCCTGCACCCTCATATCCTATTTCCTAATATTTCCTCCTCTTTAAGCGGTCTCTTACATTCTAGTTTTCTGATTAATATTTTGTGTGAATTTCTCATCTCACCCATATGTGCTACCTGCCACATTCATCTAATCATCCTAATAATATCTAGTGATGAATACAAACTGTGAAGATTCTCATTATGCACTTTTCTCAAGCTTGCTGTTACTTCCTCCCTCTTCAGTTCAAATATTCTGCTCAGTATCATGCAGTGTGACTTATCTCACACATGAATTCAGCCTCGATACATTTTGATCAGGGCTCATACAATATATAATATCTATTAATTTTGTTTTACAGTGGGTCACATTGTTTTCCTCCCCTCCTTCACTTGCATTTTTTCATTTATTGCCAGTATATGCTCAAACTTCATTTTCTTTCAATGAAAATTAATACATTCACCCTTGCATACATCTACAGGTCACCAGTGCATCTGAATGGCAGTTACACAAAGGCTTCTCACACTGAACGATTGTAATTCAGTTGAAACAAAGCAACTTACTGTTACTACAGGGTGTGTTGATGGGGCTCCATCTAATAACAGAATTATTAACTACATGGTCTACCCTAAAATGGTAACAATAAAGGCCACAGTAAAGTTCCTTGTTTATTCTTATGTCCCACTCTTAAAGAAGGGTACCAAAATGCTAATCAGATTGGTAGGAAATAGATTAAGAGTTGTAAGTTTTGAGGTAATGACCGTCAGATTGTAGTCTTCTGGGTTGTGACATCATACCATCATACAGTCTTGTATATGGACATCAGTGTTTCAGAGGAACATGCTTCAGGATTTGACCCTGATGATGGAAGCAGCATGTTCCTCTGAAAGAAGACTACATGATATAGCAACCCAGAAGACCACAATCTGCATGTTATTATTTCATACCTATGGAAAGAAATACGATACTGGGCTCCAGCAACAAAGACTTGCTGAACACTTAAATACAAAGAGATGAGAAATCTACATGGCCTCAGACAAATTATGAAGATTCTAAGCCTAAGCAGAATTTGGAACAATGGAGACAAGATTTGATCAATTAGGGTATGACATCATCTACTCTAATAGTGGGTATGATCATTTCAATGGAACACACAGCCTCTGTCTTCTGGTAGGTATACAATGAACATGGAGGCAGAATATTCCTTTGAAATACTGTCACTCATCCAGCAGACTACACAAGTCATAACTCAGATGATCACAATATGAAACTGAGATATGAGCTGCATGGGGCAATCAACAGTTCACAGCTGAAGGAAGGAAGACTGGCATCTGTCAAAAGGAATCCAATATTGATGGACATAAAACTGTCTCATATTTGAGGTTCTCATGTTGGGGAGTGTGAATATTACTGTCGCCTGGGATGTGATGCAGTGTAGTCTGGCAGATATTTACCAATGTTTTGAAGGAACATGCTGTCTCCTCATCATGGTGTAAATATCTATCAAACTACATGGCATCATATGCCAGAAGACAGTAATCTGCATATCACTATCTACTGAAATGTGGTCTTAATTACTATTTATGTAAAAAGAAAACAGACCTAAAACAGTGCTCAGGAATTTATGTAATGTCAGAAATAAATGTCTGATTTACATAATTTTGTGAAGCTGTGAGCATAATTCATTTTTCATTTGCAAAATTCCTAAATAAATGGCTTTACAACAGTAATCATAAGCTATTTCCAAATACCCATTGTAACTTATAACACCAAGATCTGCAATAAAGTAATAACATAGCTATATGTAACTGATACCTTGCAAATTTTTAAAGCAAATCTGGAAAAAAATAACAAATATAAATGAACATAATGAAATTTAAAGTAAAATAAATTCAGGAAACAGTTGTTTACATTCAGTTCAAATTGTTATATATTTTTTCTACCAGCACGCTAAAGATTATGATGTGGGAAAATTATCACTTGTCCATCTGTTTCAAATAGGTTTCTTATTTAGAGGCAGAAATGTAAATTATAAAAGCTTGAATATAAGTGCTTGGAGAAATATCTAAATCTAAGAAGTATAAACTAAATGGGAAATTTAGAATATTATGTAAGTAATTTAATTATACAGGTCACCTGGTATTATGATGACACAAAATCACCAATGTTACGACAATTTGTAGGTTGAATGAGGGAGACAAGAAATGCAGAGATAATTTGGGTGCAATAATTGCCAGAAAGCAGTCACTTTGAAGACAGAGATAGAGACAGCAGAATATCATATAGAATAGCCCTAGGAATCTATGTTGTGAATGAGAATTGGATGGAACTGGCTCAGATTCAGGCTCAACAGCTTTCAGGTTTTACATATACTACTTGACAGCCAGTAAGTGTCTACAGTTACTTGAATATCAAAGTGGGCTGAAGACAATATGAATGCAAATTAGTATGTTCTAAGTTTGCCCCAGCTGGGATGTGCATACATATATTTTCTTGAATTTAGGACATTTATCACATTCTGCACTTTTAGTTCTTTAGCAAAACTAATATTTTATATGCTGTGTGAATTTTCACAGTATGAAGAAAATAAAACAAACCTGATCTCTACAGCAGCTTACTTGCTACAGCCATGAAGGCATGACAGAATTGCAACACAATTTCAGGAGAACTCTTAAACTTTGAAATATGATAATCCTTTATATTTAGTTAAACTGTGAGAACTGAAAAGGAAGAACTTACTTCAAAGGACTTGATGGACACTCAGAAACCTTGCCATGCAAAGGATTAACTAGTTATTTCATTGCTGGAGCGCTTAAAACAGATGAAATACCATTAGAATTGCTTTAATAACTGTCTACACAATAATTACCTGGCAAATATATCAACAGTTATTTATTTCACAACCATGATATGTTTTAATCATATTGATCATCAAGTGGTATTATAATATATAAATAAAAACAGTTGTTACTTACTTTGCTGTATTTATTAGTAAACTCTATACTGAAAGTCAGCTGTGTTTCCAAAATGAGATTTTAGGATGTATCATAAATTATTTTTATACGAATACACTATACACAGAAATAAATTGATTATTGTCATCTTCTGGGATGTGGTGTCGTCTAGATCTTGTGTGAACCAACATTTCAGTGGAACATATTGCCTTCATCTTCAGGGTAGCTTGATGATGGAGGCAATACATTCCTCCGAAATGTTGGTTCACACAAGAGCTACAGGGCGCCACATCTCAGAAGACGGCATTCTTCAAAGTGATTATTACTGTTGGCATTACTACTACTAACATTGCTACTGCTGGTCGCCAACACCACCACCACCATCACCCCCCCATCCCCTATTATATGCTTGTCTGTTGATGGATATTGCAAACTGTTTTGTTTTTTTAATATCCCATCACTGTCACTGACCACTATCTTAAGAAAATAATGCTTTCCACAGATACAGGCAATAAATGAAACAGTACTACAAAAGAAGGTACTGCAAATAACACTTATGCTGATTCAGCAATTGATTTTTCAACCAAGTAAATCACACAACTTCTGCTCTTACTATTGTATTGTATTGTATTTATTAGCATTCATCAATCCATTCTGGTATATGACCACTGGATATAGAAATTGTCAGCAACACCTGTTGTTACAACAATACACGTCTAAACAAAATGTACATCAGCATAATTAGCCAAAGTTATGAGCTCGTAGGATATTCTTTATGAATCCCTATATGTATTACAATGATAAAAACACTATGGAATGTTGAACCACAGCCTCTGTCCCTGGACTGTGCCAGTAATCATGAGCATGAAGGCTGTGCAAATGGAACTCAATTCACATGTTTGGCCCTGTTCAACCTCCTTATGAAAGTACTGTGGGTCTGTAGATTCAAGTTGGATGAAAATAACACAACTGTGGTGATGCAGCAGTTCTAGTGGCAGCCCAAGGAGTTCTTTGTGAAGTGGATCCATCAGCTGGTGTCTCAATGGAATGTCTGTTCAATACCCATGGGGACTATTTCTAACTAACTCTACACATCCATCCAGAACAATCTCCAAATGAGTTGCATCTGAACAAACACCATATAAATAGAAGCTAATTTAAATATTACAGTCACTGTTTCAGTGGAACAATAAAGAATGCCAAGCCTTTAAAATATGTAATGTGTAATGTGAAATGTAACTGTTACAAACTACTCTCAATCTGTCATCATATTCCAATTGTGGCAAGATGGCAAGACTGGTTCTCCACAAAACTGTGTACAGTTTAAAAACCACAAAACCATGTACAGCTGAAAAACTACAAAACCTAGAACCATTGCCTTGGAATAAAAAAATTGTAGTACCATGATATTAGCTTACAGATTGAAACTGGCAAATCCTCTCTCTGTAAGTCATATTCTGGCCATGTGGAAAAGCTAAATGCTCCTTTTAACTGGAAGGTTTACAGCAATGCACGTTGATGACTAGACCTGTTCCTTTCCAAGTTAACAGGCCATCAAGTGTTGCCAGCACATGTGTGAGGATATATATTCTGAAATAAAACAAGTGTAGCTGTGGTTCCATGTGACTAGAGTTGTGCTGCTTCCTACACACCTGCTAACGACCAAGAATGAAGTCACTCTGATCATTGACTAGGAAGTGATACACAAAGTTTGCTTTCTTCCTGTCAAGTACTTGCTGATTCATACGAGCTCGGGAAGACAGATCACCACGACTTCGAGGAGGATCTCGCAGGAAGATGGTTCCAAAGAGTGTGGCTACCAAAGCAAAAAGAAGAAGTTAAATACTAGACAGCTACTTCTGGTAAAAATAATGGGTCATAACTGCCAAATATATGCAAGATTGAATCTAAAACTTCTTTTGCCCTGCCCATAAAGCAGAAATTTTGTTTCCCTGCCAGTAAAGTAACTGAAACAATTAAGCATGTTTTGCTAAATCTACCACAATACTATCTGGCCAAAACATAAGGTTTTATGGTGTAAGTAAATTACACACTTTACTTGCATTATAAAACCTCATGCATATGTTAACATTTTGAACCATGACTACTGGTACATGGCAAACTTAGACTCTTAGACAATTGTATCTTCCTAATGTTTCCATCTATAAGCATCACAATTTTTAAATCACAAATAAATATCCATTCAGTATGACTGTCAATTTACCCTAAGTGTACACATATATTAATGAACGAAATGTTATAAAAATGTTAAAATATCATCTTAAAATTAAAAAAAGAAAGATATCTGAGAATATGATGAAAATCACTGTCAGACATACTATATGGCATACAATGACAAGAAAATAATGATTTCAAGTTCTGTTCTGAAGCTGTTACCTTCCTTTTCACTTGCAGGCAGCGTGAAATGTGCAAGTGTTATTAGTGATCCTTTCTTTCTTCTAAATCACTTGTCATTCTTACATTCAAAGATCTCCAAACTCATCAAACATGAACTGACATGACATCAAGTGACATCTTCACTTACTGAAGGAATTTCAGTATTCACTTTGCAGTTTTATCTGCCAAAATGATTTGTGGTGATTTTCGCAGGAATTTTACATTATGAGGACATCATATGATGGTCACAGGCAACTAGGACTACAACATGCAGATGCCACAAGATAAAGTGTTAACAGGAGCCACATCTGGTCAAAATATTTTACCTTCAATATTTTTTTTATTATCTTGTATGAATGAATGTATAAGGGGTGCCATAAACAGCTTATAGTACTTAGCCCATTTGAGAGGGGGGCTAAAAATAGGAGGCCTTGCTACAATCAGAAAGAAATTTGATGGTTTCTGAACTGTAAAACCCAAGAACCAATCCTAAGGCAATCTATATGGGACTTATATACCTGTTAAATGCTCAAAATGTTTACTTAAAATTTGGTGATTCCTAAGAATAAGTTCTCCTGCAAAACAAGTTAGTAACAACTGACATATATTATGTTTACTGTGGTATATCCTGTAAATACATTTGCCTCACCAACAGTCTTGGAGTCAAGACCATTTTCATTGACATGGCAGAGCACTTCTTGCAAGAATGCACACAGGTACAAAAACACATTTTTGCGGTGCTCTGGCAGTTGCATCACAATCTGAAACACAGAACAAGTAAATATCAAACATCAGTGACACATAATTTTAATTTACTTATAACCACAAAACTGCCAATCACAGAAACAATCCACATGATCAGCATGCATTTTTTGGCCTGTTGTTTAAATAAAAGTCATTCCATTCTATTGCATTTCAAAGTTTCCTACAAGCAATCACCAACAGTTAAATCTCAAACCTTGATTTTCATCTGTTTTCTGTTATAGATTATGCTCATATGGTTAATACATTTGACAAACATGGGTTGCAACAGGAATGCAAAATGAACAAAATATTTAACAGGACACAAACCACAAAGAAGGGTTAAAAGAACTTTGAAGCAATTTAAGTCCTACTTTAAATTCCAAGACAACCCCATATATTTCCTGTCACTAGCTGGTTCATAACATGCATAAAATTGTGTGTTACAGTATTATATTCTTGTTCAGTTTTCACTGTAAAATATTTCATGGCACAGCTCATAAACATAAGCATTCAATTTCATAGTTGCTAACTTTCTGATTTGATTGCTGCTTCCACCGTTAAAATAATTTGAAAAAATATGACGAAGGTGGTAGCAGCTTAACTTTGATTTTTAAATTCTCGGCTGTTTTCCAGTATTGTTTACAATAACGTTAAAAGGATCTCCATACAAATGTGGCCCTCTCATTTAAAAATATGATCTATCAAACCCCAGATAACATGAAGTAAAAAAGAAATATCTTCTTTGGATGGACAGCATAACATTCAGCATCTCCTTTTGAAAATGGAACATATAATGAAAAAGGAGGAAACCTATTTAACAGTGCATTATACAATTAACATGGTTAGAAATGATTCACATGTTTTGTTACTGGTGATTCATTTGCCAATGCATGAAGTGTGTTTTTTAAAGAGCACCAACAGCTTGCAGCAATATTTGATGGCTTCAAGGCTACATTCAGACAACTAAAATATAATCTGCTACTTGTACTCTGTAATGAGTGTGAGTGAACGTAAATGAATGATAGGAATCACCCATTTTTAGCACAAACAAGATAATGAAACTTGTTACTTTTCATTTTACATAACCAGGAGCTCCAAGCAGAACTCATAAAACGTGTTTTCCAACTGCACAGATCTCTAGTCTTACAAATTACTAGAATTTAGAAATGTCAAGTATGACATACTGTGACTTAAAAGCCCAAAAGAAACTGTTTTCTGCTACTACATGATGGCTGGTAAAGAATACCTGATGAAACAACTAGGGAATTGTTGGAACCAGTGTTTTCTATGCAGTCTGTGAAAAGTCTATTAGCAGGAGCTGTCCAGGTAACTTAGTCATTCCCTGAATTCGTTGAAAGTCAAGAGTTTAAGCAATTAATTGTGAGCTGGTAGCCTGTTGGCAATCAATGACGTAAGTACAAGAGCGGGAGAATTTCCACCGCTGGGAACCCTAACTAAGCAACAACTAGTGAAAATTATGACAGATTGAGACTCAACATATGCTACAGTGATCTGTTAAGTGTGTGAATTACTGATAGCATTATAATTACATATAGTTACAATTGTATAATCACATCCATGGCCAGTACAATATGATTTATCACTAGTAAAATGTGGCATCCCAAAGAAGCATACAGTGTAGTGAAACCAGTAATATAATTTACATCATCATCAAATTCTATGAAGTGAAGAAGAAAAAGTCTTAACATTCCTTTAACAATGGTAATTTTAAATTTAAACTGTAGTACTAAGATTAAAAAATAATGCACCCCTGTCTTTCTCCTGTCATATGATGTGGACTGTATCTGTTTTCTTTGTTGCACTCTCCAAAACATTTGATCCTATCCCCATCATTCCAGGTCAGCTCAACATTCTACAAGGTTCATAAGTATCAATTCTGATACATTACATTTGTCAGATAAAACCACAAAGTTTCAAACCATTGTTATGTTTGATATTACTTACAAATCACATTTCATACACAATGCATAAGCATGTACATAATCACCTCTACACCAATTTTCACACACTTGGCTCCAATGGTTTAGTCATCATCAACAAACTAAAAGCTAAAGAAAATATTCACACAGGTCCATGTTGCTAATTTAGTCTACAAAAAAGAAGTCCAAACATAAATAATAAATTCTTCTAAGCTCTAACTCCATACATCATTAAAAGTTCGAAGTAGGAAACATTAATGTTGTTGCCATCTCACAAATTCACACACCCACCATGTTATTACCACTTGTAGGAAATTAAAAAAGTATGAAGTGGCCTTTAAAGTCACACTTTCATATCAAGTTCTGTGAAAATCAGTCATCTGATTCAACATTTAAATGGGAGACACACAGTCAGCAAGGTGATCTCATAAGCCTACTATTTTTTTCCTTCAGAAAGCACAGTATGCTAAAAATAACCCCAATGAAAGATTAATATTTTTTCAATTCTTTCATCGGACAGTTTCATAACACTACAATGAATAGTGCTAGCTTCTCTCTCATACCCAGTTTCCTTTGCTGCTACCATGGTATTATGGAAATATACCACTAGGTTACAGGGGATAACAGATGGACATACCGACATACAGATAACTTGAAAGCACAAGACAAATACTTAATTTGTATTTCTTTATTTTTTCAGCAAAGGTATTTAAAATGCTTGATAATATATACAAAATTAATGTTAATGCAGGCAGGTAATATAAAGCTCTTTGGTAACAACAAAGTGGATCACAAGTTCTTACTTACTTGTTGGCTCTACAGTCCTCTGAGAAACCTGGCCTCCTTTGTGACACATGCCCCTCCTTCCACATTATTTACCTTTTGCCTCCAGCTCTTCACTTTCTGCTCATTAATTGTTCTATACATCTTCCAGCCATTTTATCGGCTTTCCCACTTTTCTTCTGCCGTCCAGTTTCTTTAACAATTTTCTTAGCCACCCTTGTTTCATCCATTCAGACCAAAATGCCCAACCAGTCCTATCTTCTTTTAATATCTGGTGCCAGATTAGGGGTTCTGTACAATTCTCCTGGCTCCTGGTGAGGTCTGATTCTCCACACCCCTTGCTCAGTTACCAGTCCATATACCTTCCTCAAAATTTCCTCTTCCCCATGAATCACAAATATATTTTATATTCTAATTAATGTACAATTTGCTCAATCTGTTTGAAAAAACCACAATAAATATGAGCTTGATGACATGGCCATTGCAAGCAGTAACATAAAGACACCATAATCTATGGTGCTTGATGACATGGCCATTGCAAGCAGTAACATAAAGACACCATAATCTATGGTGCTTGATGACATGGCCATTGCAAGCAGTAACATAAAGACACCATACTATATGGTGCTTGAAGGTTCACAAACAACTGTCTTTACGGTGTAAAGCAAATCATACCAATGTTTAGAAAATTTTATATTCAAAATTCCTATTAAAACAGAAGAATAAAATGATACCTCTGCCAGTGACCAATCGGCCTTTGAACACTACAATGGAACTCCAATTTAACGTTAAGATTTTCTCTCATTTAATCTCCAGTTTCAATGATCCAAGTCAATGCCTCAATTCAGAGTACATACTTGTTTCTCCCTAAAGAAACCTTAAATGGGGGACTTCATTGTACATAAAATTTCTGATTACTTCAACACATTTAAACAAAAGCAAAAAATTTAATTAAACAAATATTTTGTTGTATGTGGTTTTGCTATAGTGACCTATTTCTGACAATTATGATAAAATTCCCCTTAGCACGCACAATAAACTGTATATAAAAGTAATGAGCCATGAAAACAAAAGATAAACCAAAATTCTGAAAATACACTGAAATGTTTATTAATTTTAAAGGAAAACAGTTTCTAACTTATGCAAATATCTGAACATTGGTCATAGAAAGTGCTGGCCACCTAAAGATTTTAATTCCTGTTGGCACTGCAATAAATCATAAAATACCACCAGCTCTTAGAAATAATGCAATTCATTCTGGTTTTATATAAATTGCTGCAGAAATGTAATTCATCTATATGCCTGATATTTTCAGCATTCTAAATGAGTTTAACCTTGCTTTACAGACAAAAATTCGGCTGTGGTGCACGCATCTCAGCCATCAAGAACTTGGTTCTTTCAAATTATTTTATGATTCTGTAAGTATATCCAAGGACAGAACATAAGAGGAAATTATTAAAGAATTTCAAACACACCTGTGAGGATGAAGAAAGTTGTCTTCTGGGTCATTGTCATCGCCGTGAAAACCTCAAAACTTACACCTGTGAGGACTTTAGAGTATTTAGGAAAGTACATCCAAGAGCCAGGAATGGGTAGGTAGGAAATCCTTTCTTACCTAGTGCAAATAAGAAAACAGCAGTAATCTTCCATCAAAAGATACTGGTGGAACCTGAATCAGTTGGGTCCCTAAACTTAATACTCAGAAAAGTTTTACTGATTTTTGACTGAATATAAGGTCTGAATATTCTGGATCTGTCAATGCAGCCTCTTAAATATCTACTGCCACGTGCACCACCTTATAACTTGCTAGGTTGGATTTTCAGCGCTAGTAAATTTAAACACAAGAAAGAGAAGTACGCTGAATGTGGAATCTGTTTGAGGCTACAGCCCTCCAAGCTGGAACAAGACATTTCATCATTATCTTTACTTCAAAAGCAATGTAAAATTTCACATTAATTAAAACAAACAAAGAAAAGAAAACAAACTCAGTGGTTTTAGTCTGCAAGCAAACTATACCGACCAAGTGGCTGCTGCTTGTCAGTGAAGTTAGTGCCAATTTCAGCAGATAGAGGGTGTCACGTGGTCAGCACAACAAATCATTAATTTCGGTTTTCTACACCAGAGCCGCTATATCCTTGAAATAGCTCCTCAATTATCATCACGAGGCGGACTGCACCCTGTTCCAGACCCACTACTTCTCAGAAAAAATCTGGTAACGCCAGGAATCGAACCCGGACCTCTCGATCTGTAGCCAGGAACTTTAAGCACTAGACCACATATGTGGCCACATTAATTAAATAAATACTAAATTGTCCTGAATAAATATTTGTATGAATTTCTTATCTGTTAATTAAAACTGATCATATTTTTCCAATATTAGAGAAGTTCCTTAACATTTTATTACTTACTAATATTAATTATTTTGTATGAATTTGTTAAAAGAAAATATGAATGGCAAATATAAGTTTGGTAAGTTATTAAATTTAAAAAATAAAGAGTATTATTGTTATTTCTTTAAAAATAAAATAAAAATTCTAATTTTCCATTAAAATTCCAACTTTTAAAGAAAAATGCCTATTAGGTTGCAAAATGGCTCTTCTTCCCAAATAAGCACTTTCTTGCACCCAAAACTAGGTGGCTGGTGAAACTTTGTTATTATAAGGAGTGGTCTGTAGAATGAAAAGTTCAAGAACCACTGACCTCGAGAACAAAACACTCAATGGAAAAGACTGACTGAATATTGGATTCTAATGCAACAGTAATGACAATGGGGCTATTCATTACTTCCAATAACAAATGCTTCCTGGATACAAAGATTTCCTGTGTAAGAAGCTAGATTCTTGAATCCCAGCCAAAACTCCCATAAAGATGTTAAATTTTCCCATACATAAAAATCCTCTGTAAAAAAATGTTTAGAAGCTTTAGAAGTTCATTTTCTTTGAATTCTTATATACAAATCTACATTTAATTGTAACGTGTTTCGTTACTGAAGACGCCGTAGAGATGGTTGATTGGTTTATATAACGATCTACAAGTATTGGCTACAATTAATGATAACAATGTTACGGGTTTCCACACTTTACAAACCCTACAACAAAATCTCTTAACACTATCTTCAAGAGTCTTCACGTATTAATAGCGCGGAAGCTATACAAGTCTCGCTGAATTACACACTCCAAATATAACTGGTTATCACGAACTATCACTGATTCTCGCACACGCGTCTGTAACTCGTAGCTTGCGAACTGAGAACTGTCGTCGGCAGCTGTGTAGCTCCCTTATAAACCCTCAGCAGGGCAATAAGAAAACAACCACGTGGTAGGCATCACTGTTGCTAGGGTCGTTTATCGCAACCACTGTTTATCCGCATTGCATAGCGACCAGTGCGCTGGGATTCGGCTCGCTTCGGCTCCGCTCGGCACGTCACCGCCGCTGGGTGGGGGTGGGGGTGTCCTGCGTAGCGCGACAAGTAGTAACGAGAGCACTACGTTACCACCACGTGCCGCTGGGGAGGTAGGGGTCCTCCGTTGCGCAACATGTCACATAATACATTTAAAATACTACTGTTAAATTGCACACAATGTGCAAGTTTGATCATAATGCATTTAAAAGGTTTCACAACCATTACTCATGTTGTGACAGTCAAACTGTTCCATGGTTGAGACCAATTGCAGATTGCTTCATAACCTATACCAGTTACACGGTTTTCATCATCCATCTCTTACTAAGTGAAATGTATCACTGAACTTCCATTTCAATTCATTCAATTTACAGCATTCGTTTCATTGTCCACTGACCTTGGTGTTTTATGTGCATGCTTGCTTTTACTCATTTAATAAGAATATGATACTGCTGATTACTTGTGTTGAGGTGTAAAGCGATTTAAGCGAAGTATGTCTGCAGCTACAATTAAATGGAAAGTGATGACTTTGTGGGAGAAAATATACAGACAGAGTGGAGGAAAATCTGAATACAACAAGTGTTCGTATGTGTATGTTACTCTTATAGAATTTTTAGGTGGTCCATTATGACTTGTGTTTTGTTAATACTTTTTAGCACTAAATTAAAAAAATAACTAGAGGTGCCGTCACTGTATTTCCAGATTTCCCTGGTAACATATATTTATGATTTTTATAACTTAAGTATTATGAAACAACTGCTCAGGGACACAATACAAAAGCATTTTTTCACTACTCCCCTGAAAAACTTCTTACCAGGGAAACACTGTACATTAAAAGTAATATGAATGTGATATCATTCCAGCGCTCCATTTTTAACACAGAATAAGAAATAATGATGTGAAGATAACGTACTACTGATGCACAATTGTAAAAATGCAGCAGTCAACAAATATTAATTCATTCAACAGTCACATAACATTTCAAAGTAACAAACTGTCCTGATTAGTCAAGGTCTTACATCCAGATTTGCTCATGGAAAAGTTTGTAAGAATTGGTTTGTCTTCTTCAGACATGTCCCACTGTTCTTGTGATTCTACTGTCACCACAAAGGAATTCACTAAAGTAGCATCAAACCTGATATCCTTAAGGACAGTTCCTTCTTTTGATTCTTCAAACATTTGACTGAGGTTTGAAGATTTGTAATCTGCAATAAAATAACTTACATTACTGACTACTTAAAACCTTCACCTTATCAGATTCCTGATACTCCAGAAAAACGATAGAGAGGTCATGGATAGCAAATATCATGATTTTTGTTTACCACACAAATACATATTCTATGATTCTTTTAACTACAAAGTAGGCCACAGCAATCAACACTTACTTGAAACTGAAGATTACACAACTCATTTTCTAAAAAACAATCTGCACATGAAGAAATAGCAGTTTCAAGAAAAATCATGTTTTATTATGGTACCCTTTGAACAGCCATTCTTCACAATCCATTAATTTTAGCCTTTACATCTAGCCCTACGGCTTCGGTCCTTACCTGAAAATTAATAATACCAAGTCAAAACCTGTGATATAATGAGTTTATAATTATATATACATCAAAGCAGGACTGAAATAAAGTGTGAACTTACATGAGATATTCTTTGTCACTACTTCTTGGATGGTCTGCTTTGCTGAGATACAAGGCACTTCAAGTTGTATAAACAAAGAAATCACTCATATATTTTGATTAAAATTCAGATTGTGGCCCTCTTCCACGCCTCTGAACACATAACCTTTCTTCACTCTTGCTGTTGATGAGACAAGTAGGTGGATGAAAAACAGTAAGCATTCTAGTTTACGAAAAATGACTGAAAAGGTGACACATCGATACTTAAGAAAAAAGAGCAAATTTTTGTTATCATGTCACATCTACACTCTCTAACTTTGAGGGGGGGGAAATTTTATACTGTATGACCCTAAGTACACAAGTACATGACGGCGTAAAGTCAGCCTAAAAGTACATACCAGTAATTTGTTATGACCTTTCAGTGCACAGACATATTATTTTCCCGAATACTGACTAATCATGTCTTACGGTGGCCCTTTCTTGAATTTTTGGATTCCAGGATTATGAACTATACCTGAAATGTAAAAAAGCTCTGAGATTCCAACAAATTATACTGTGGAATCAACATGCAACAACAGAGGAACTGTTTGAAGTGGTGTTTTTCTGTGCAGTCTGCACCAAGGCTATACAGCGATGACCAACTGGAAAAGTTAGTGAGTCGGAGGTCAAAGTTGGGGATAGGAGTCATGAATTGCAAGTGCGCAGTAGCAGTTCATGATTGGCAATGAGGACTCTTCATTGTCAGCAGCCACTACCTAGTAACGACTAATGACGACAAACTAGTAAACAGAACACTTTGTGTGTGCTGTAGTTGTAGTAATTCACAGTGTGTGTAAATTAGTGAGACTGTTATAATTATTTGTATTTATGAGTTATAAATGTCCAGTGAATCCAATTATCAATTCAAATGCCATGTCTAGTCAGTCACATACGACAGTACATTATATATATTGGGGTTTACCTGTTTGCACTGTAGATAGTTGCTAGCAGCACTCAGACAGATGCTGTGAAGGTTATACGGGATGACAGGTTCAGCAGTCGACTCCAACAACAATAGCAATGCTTCTGCCACAGAGTGAATGCTGCCAGCTTGGATTGTTGTCAGGAATTGCAACAACATATCACACAGGAACTGAATATTATCACTATAGAACCAGTACAGGACAACAGGATACAAGATTTTAAGTTCTAAATAAATTAAAAAATTCCCATGTGAACTATCATGAAAATCTATTTATTAAGGATCTGAATGCAGTTATTTCAAGTTAAAAATTAACTTTAATATATCTGTTTCCACTTTAGTCCACTGTAAATTTAATTCTTATGTGTCCCTGAAGTAAATAACCTGATTATCCCTCACAATATAAATAATTAAACTGACACTGACTAATCCTGGGTACTAATCACAAAAGCAGATCCCCAATAAATCAGCATAAATTAATTTCTGAAGATATTTCAAGAAATAGCATATGACACTGGCTGCAAAACAAGAACTCTGAAAAGTAAGTGTCATAAAAGAAAACCTCTGCTGGGGTGGTATGGACATTCAGAAAGCACACAGCAAAAGTATTCAATTCATTACAGCAAACTAGAAGACCTCCAAAGAGCTCAGACCTAAGCCACGGTGGCCACAAGGAATTTGGAGTGATGGGACAAAAGAATATGAAAGAATGGGACTGAAATGATTGACCTTGAACTATGAGAATGGAGAATTTTTTGAAAATTAGGAAAATCCAAGAAGACATAAATGCTAAAGCCTTGATTTTCCAGTTCATTTAATGGCACTGGTCACACAGCGCCGAACAAAGAGGATAATATATGATCAAACTGCATATGTATTACTGCAATGTACATTTCCCTGTATTTTTCAGAATTTTTCTTTTCAATACCATTAATCTTTCCATCATTTCAATGGTTTTAGTTCCTGAAAAAATAGAAAGCCCCTTCATTTAAATACTGTACAGTTTTTTTTTGTGACTGGTCAACTTTTCTTCTCAACCACTGGCTATTTTGATGATTTTTTACATTACATTGCATTCCCTGGATCCAAAGTTACTCAGAATGACTGAAGATATAAATACAAAAACATGTGTAAAGTACAACTAAAGTTTTCACATAAGAAACCCCAAGAAAACACAGTTGTTATTCATAAGGCTATTCAAAAATACACCCACACACATATACATGAATGATGTCAACTTACGCTGTTGGCACAAGTAATCATCAATAGAGTAGGAGGAGTGTCTGTTTAAGTATCACTTTAGTGCTGTTTCAAATGGTGCTTTTTCATTTACAAGACTTTTTAAGATCAGACAGTAGATTTAGTCACCGTCTTGCAAGCATCATATTAGTTTTTTATTTTTATTATTTTCAAGTTAATTGTTAGTACAATTTACTCTGTTAACTATGTCTGCTGCAGGCACTGCAGTTGTTTATTTCAATTTAAATACCTGAAGAGGCATGGCAGCAAAACAAAAAGAAAGAAAAGCTCAACACACCATGGGACAGTGGCAAATACATGGGAACTTGTATTTTCTTGCAAAGAAAACTTGATTAACACTATCAACTGTGAAAATAATGATAGGCAAGCATCTTACCATTGAAAATGAAGCAAATGCAACCCTTCCAGACAAAAAGGAGGTGGAGGTGAACAAAATGATAATGACAATACGTGAAGAAGTCCAAGTCTGAAGAACTGGAAGAGATTCTACACAGAAACTTTCAGTGTTTGACAATGATTTTACCTCGCATCATGACATTGTATATCTTCAAAAGTAGTATCACAGAATCGCACAGATGGTTGAGGCACTGTGCTATAAGATGGAAAGTCATGGGTTCAAATCCCAATGAGGTCACTGGATTATACAATTGAACTAATATTTACAGCCATACTATGACCCAGGGGTTAACTCAACCTCTAACATAAATAACTATCTGGAATCTTCCTGGGGGGGGGTAAAGGGCAGTGGGCGCATAAGGCTGACAATCTTACTATCTGTGAGCCGACTGTCTAGAAAATGTGGGAGATTCAACCTCTCACAACCCTATGGGCCTCCACAACCCATTACAGGGGCAGCTTTTAGTATCAAAGAATGGTATATTGTAAAAATGTTCTGGTCAGTCTTAAACTTATTTAGAAAATTAATTTGTACTAATTTTAACAGAGATCTTCCTTTGTGATTTATCACCTGGTGTTATCCACTGTGGGTTTAATTATGTATACTGCAAAAGATTGTCAGGATATTTATTTTAGAAGCATGTCTTATCAAAGTTAACTTTAAAATGGAATAAGGTGGAAAGAGACATATTAAGGCATTAATTTTTATCTTGAAATGACTTTTTCTTTATTGCTAGTGGGGTGGGATTAAGTCCCTTGTATTGTGGCCACTTCTGGCATATTGTACTAGCCCCAGATGATAGGTGAGGTTGATTGTGGAGCAATTGGTGGAAGGAAGACTGGCAGGGGAAACTGAAGTACTCGGAGAAAACTGGCCCCAGCGCCAATTTGTCAACCACAAATCCCACTTGACCAGACCTGGGGATGAACCCGGGCCACCGCGGTGGAAAACCAGTGACTAACCGCTTGAGCTATGGCGCGTCGTTTGAAATGACTTAATTCAGATACTACATTACCTGCTGAGCATTCTAAAATAAGAGTTAAGACCAAGGTATGGAATCAGCTAATGACTTCTGCATTGTCTAAAATTTATATCTTCCCATAATTTACACCTTTTCATCAATCCCCTGAACAGTGTAAACAAGCTGCCCCACTCTATGTTTGCTGTCTTCCGGTCTTGTAACAAAGTGAAATAGACTGTTAGGCTATTACTTAGAATGAAGAAGCATGTAGTTATAGATTAACAGTTGTCTGTTTTCCTGTCTGGTACTAATTTAAAGAACATATTTTCTGATGATGTGCCTGAAATGGCGAAGAACAAACAAATCATTCAAATTAAAGGATACGCATGGGATCTGGTGAACCATTATCCAGCCAGTTGCGTATCTGCAGAAGCTCCGAGTTCAAGCCTGGCTGTTCAAAGAGGTGTGGCTGTTTGAGGCCATGTCGGTACAGATGATCAACCAAGAACCAGATCTCCTTGGGTATGGGATATGGATCCTGTGTGCTGCTCACCTCTTTTGCGTTCTCCTGTAGTATCAAACGAAAACAATATTATGTACCACAGCACTCAAACCTTGGAGGGCTGTTAATCCTTTGATGAAGAGTTTTCCAAACCTGAGGCTTAAAGACTACATGCAGCTGCCAACATCCCATTATGTTCATACAGTACTGTATCATCCTGAATAATGGAAAATAGTTACCATCTTAATCAAACATTTAATTTTAAGTGCATTAATAAAAATAACAAACTACTTGATAAAGAAAACTGAGTAATGTGAACTTGATCATGATAAGCACAAAATTATTTGCATTTTTAATGAACTGCCATGAAGTTCCAAAAAATTATCATTTGTAACCTGGTGGCTCACTGGTCAATACAAAAGGGTGAATGTGGCCCCAGGTAGTAATGCTACTGAATGTAGCCCAACATCTTAAGGGGCTGAGAATCCCTTCTATAAAGCGTATTTGATGATTCTTGAAGTAATTATTCCCAAAACTTTGATTAGAAAAGCCCTTGGAGGTATACAGTATATTTCAGAGGAACTACTGAAAAAAATCTGTTATAGTTAACCCGTTGCCGTGGTTCGTCGTGTATGTTTCGTCAGGGANAAATCTGTTACAGTTAACCTTTCATGAGCTATCATTATTTTGAACATGACAAAAACAACTACATAAAGGTGTCCAACAACAAAATGGTCAGAGTTCAGAAGTGTATTCTACAGGTAATTTGAAATAAAAAAAAATGTTCTACCACAATGGTTTAATTCACCACCATTATGAAGTTAAGCACTATTGTTGAATAGAAATGAATACAAATCAATTTCCCTTTGAGCAGCTTTATTACCAAGATAACTAAGGTATCGGCTTTTCTAAGTGAATTACAATCAAACAAAAAGTTTACACCTACATTAAATTTCAGAAATTATCTCCTTTAGCCTGAATACATATCACTAGGTGTCACTCTGTTTAACATTTAATATCTTTATGCATTGTGCTTCTTATTGCGGCAGCTTTGCTCATGCACAAACTGTTGTCTTGCTTCTGGCTAGCAAATATGGCAGTCCTCAGACTTCATACAACCCATACAAAAAGTGAAATGGAGTAAAGTCTTGTAATCTAGCTGACTACGCAACTGGTTCACCATCTCAAACTTCCATGACAACCTGCATTCAAGTACTCTGTGATCTCTTGGCCAAAATATAGAGGCAATCTGTCATGTATCCACATTCATTTTCCTGTGTAAAGAGGAACATCTAAATGAAGATTTATTTTATTCTCTGCAAGATGTCTGTAAGACACAGGTGTCATGTCCCTCAATGAAATGCGGACTACAAATAATATGAATGCCCACCTTTCCACACGATGTACTTATTGAAAATGGATGTTGAAAGTTACTTTGTACTGCCTTATGCTGATTGTCCTGTGATCAAGACTGATATTATCATTGTAAAATTGAGTTCATCCATGATCAAAATGTAATTCATAAACTGTGACTGTTCTTCAAGCCATCTTCAAAGCTGCACATAGCTGGCATGATCTCCTGGTAAAAACTGCTGCACTTCTTCATGTGCTGGGGTGAAGGCCATCTTCATATGTAATATTCCATACTTGCGATCATGGATAATCAGTCTCCATGGGAATTAAGCATGCATCTTGAATGAGGACTTGGCTGAAAAGCACTGAATATATTCCCTGCCATGGCATGCCATTGCTACTCACATTCCATATTCAATCACAGCCAGGATTCAGTATCACTTAAAATTCTGAGCACATTGTAAAATGCATTCTTATGTGGAACCCAACAATCTACAAGGCACTTGCATTATGTCACTATGGCTGGCCTTCCATTTATATTACAAAATCCACATACAGAATGAATATCAGGACATTCTTCAACGTAAATGTGCAAGACATCTGACTAACGCTTTTTACAAAGTAAAAGAATTGCCCCAGTCAAATGCACTAATAAAAAATGTTAGAATTATACTATCATTCTACACTACATTATTGCTTATGTGATTACAGTGATGAAGAGTACTACAAGTTATACGATTTTTTTTTCTTCAAATGACCTGATGCTAATCCAACTGTATATTTTTTTATACTCGTAGTATCTTTCAATTGAAAAGTTCAGATATGTAAATTCTGATTTCATTCACACCTTCTGTTGATGAATTTCAATTGTGGGTGAAAATATCACTGTGTAAATTTGTACATATCATTGTGGCAAGCTCTTATGCTGGTACCTACACTACAGAATGAACACGCACCAGCTCCATAAGTCTGCCAACAGGGATTTCTCTAACTGGGACACTGATGAACACCAGAGCTTCAATGGAAGAGCCAAAACAGCTGCGTTCATAAGTTCCTATGCACAAAAAGAAAGTTACATGTTTGTCAGTACACATTTCTACACATCAAAGGCAGAGCTTTATTTCATGGTAAGTGAAAGGTACATACAAAGGTTAAGAAAATATCAGAAGCAATTTTACAGTAACTTGGGGCAAAATAATGACACACCAGTTACATAACTTTCTACATATATACCCTGCCTTTCGACATATTTCATCCAGCACTAGACACATTTCCTTGCTTCATCTGAATAAGATGTTTTGGATTGGATTGAACCTTAAGCTATTCAAGCATCGTTTCTGACTGATATGCAATTTTGTCATTTCTGATTCTTCATCTGTTTCACACATGCTGCTCAGCCTGCTGATAACCTCATCTCTTCTGTCCCCATTTGAACACTTCCATTCATTCAAGAACTTTCATCTGGTTTATCGTTATAATTAAATGCCATTCTTCCATAAATCTCACTTATCACATTAAGTGACCAATACAATTAGATAACAGATCACTGTTTTATGCATTCTACTACAGGAGCACTATCTTCATAATTCAAAAAACAAAAATAACCACCACGGTGCAAATGATGGAAAGTTCACATTATCTGTATGTTATGTATTTTTCAATGCTCCAAATATCATTTTTAAATAAACTAAAACTTCCGTACATTTTGATTTTCCCTCATATATCTCCAAAACTCCTGAATACACTTGCAAATCACTTAAACTGGCTCCTTTATCACAACAACGTGCCTGCTCACATGTCCCTGAGAACCACAGAGTTTGTGACTAATAACAACATGGTTATCGTTCCACATCCTCCCCACTCACCAGACTTAGCTCCCTGTGATTCTGCTTTGCTTCCAAAATTGAAAATGAAAATGAAGGGACAATGTTTTGAAACAGTGTTCAACATCAAACATTGGTATGCACAGCAAAATCAGTTATCAGAAAATATAAAAGTTTGAGACTGAAAAACTGATGTTTGAATTCATATCAATAAATCTGTTCATCTCAGCTCAAAATATTCTGATTCACACATGCATATCAATTTCAGTCATATGTACATGATACATGTAGTATTGTCAATATATGAAACACCACTGCAGACAGGGACTACTTTTGGATATAATGTATTGTACCTGTGACAGTTATGAAGATATCCTTCCCACCTTCCAAGTGTAACACCAGAATGTCATACAGCTTGTCCTCACCAGAGTTCAGTTTGAATGCAGACTTCTTGTCAACAAACACTTCAAGCTTGATGTCACATTTCTCTCCTGCCAATAAGGAATCACAAATGACATCCCATTTGTCTCATATTTAGAAAAAACAAAGAAAAAAAATTAACCAGCTCCATTCACCAGGCTCCTTTTTTCTGAACTTAAAAGTGGCTCAGCTACTCAAATCATTCCCCATCATCATGGAATCCAAATTTCACAGTCAAATAAATACAATCCACATCCACCCTACCTCTTCAAGATCCATTTTAATATTGTAACATAACACCTAGAATCTACAATACTGGAGACAGAGAAGAGTCACATGTTGATCTCATGACTTCTGAAGATGGTCACAGATGACCAAAACATGTAAAGGGAATAAATGTCTACAAACTGAATCACACTGGACAGTGTTATCAATTATTCTATAATTTACTTTACTAGTGTGACGGACCAGAATGAATAAAATTAAGTATACTGAATATTCTTCACATATACCTTCTTTCTACACTGCTACACACTACCTGGCATGATAAATCCAGAGTACGGTTCAATGTTAAGCCAATCCTTGCAGTAGCTTGAATCATCCAGCTTCTTGATGAATTCAAAAGTAACTGGAACCTGGGAAAAATGCAAGAAATGTCTAGAAACAATTCACATCTGTATACAGTACAACAGTGCAAGTAAATAATTACTCACAATATTACACTGAAGCTAAAAAAAATTAAAATGAAATTAATTTTATCAACATTCAATAATAGAATGGAATTTTGTGAAGGCATTAGATGAAGGACACGTTTATATTTACAATTTCAGAAGGGTTATGCAATTGCTCAAACATTTAAAAATTTGTAATGAATCCAGCTATAGTCCTACCAATCCCTCCAGCCTCAAGATTATGGAATCCACCTTTGAGGTTGGAGTAACCCTAAGGCAGATTCTACAGTATTACTCACCATGAGGATAAAATATGGATAGCAGGGGAAGCTTACATTAAAATGCTAAGAAATTACATTAATACATAAACTCAAATTCTGAAGCCCTGAATGACAGAGGAAGTAAGTGAGTGGAAAGGGTGTATTCCATAATGTAGTATATAAAATTACAACAACTTTCTCTGAAGTTTACTGAGTTTATCTAAAACTGGAAAATGAGATGTAATGTAGTGAAACGTCTCTCATGATGAATTCCAACAAAAGCTGTGGGTTTATGGTATACACTCATAATTTCAGTTCTGGTCTTATACAAACTATGCTTAATTAGGAGTATATTAATAAGGCTGCAACTCAGAATCACCCAACATTTTTTTTGTGAAAGTACAGTCCATGACAGTGAATTTTAACAAACTCTATGAAACCTTTTATAGGATATGTGAAAACTGCAATTACATAAACTAGACTTTACTATGACCAATCTGGTGGAAAAGTGGAGCTGCCCAACAACTTTCAGTGAAAGCTCCCAATACTACATTTCAAGAAAATCTGTCTAATGGTTTGGGTACTGATACTAGACAGATATCAACTTCACATAACATGTTCCTTTGTAAAGAATGACTTGAAAAGCAATAGGCATTATTGGCATATTCTCCTCTGCATATGTATATACATACATTTTACTTTTATTTTTCATTCAATGTTTTCATGTTGTTAACACACTACTTTTGTTGCTGTTAATTGTTGTCGTGGGTGTTCTTATTATTAAAATTACAAAGTAAATATCATGAGTAATTTGACACTACTTTCTCTTTATCACACTTTCACCACAAATACTAAATTCTTGCAAAATGTTACCTTCCAAGAAACTTTGCACTAACCTGCCCTGTGTTTGCAATAATGAGATCTCGGATCTGTGACTCCAAATAGTGGATAGTATCAAAAATCACTTCTGTGTTGTCCACCATCACCTGGGGCAAGAACTCATTCTCCAGTTTATCTAATTTTTTCATCACCTCCTCATGTATTCTGCGGTATTTAACAGCATCTATTACGCGGATCTGAGAAGAGATGATGCAAACTCCTAAATAAGGTATGAAGTTTAGGGGGCCAAAACGTATAATCTCAAGAGAATTTTACAAACATTCAAGGGGTACCAAAAGTTTAAAAAATGTACAGTACTTAATAAATGCAATAAATACTTTCACCTGAATAATTCCGAAACATAGAAGGTGACCTTATATTACAATAAAGGCCTGCTTATAATGTTCATTTCTTATGTCCCAGTTAAACTTATAAATAAATAGTACCATTATTTTCCTCTTTGTTTCTCAGTTTTAGTGAACTCTCTATCATAGTGGTAATGGACAGGAGTAGTAAAACAGAAAATTAAAAAAGAATAATATAAAAATCTGGAAAACACCCGCTAGTCATGCTGAATTCAACCCTGAAAATAAATTGTTACTTACTGGTCACTACACAAACAACAGAAGAAAGCAACCCTTCTTCTGTGGTAGCAAACTGGCACAAAAATCAATAAAACAATAAAACAGAAAGTTGCAATTGAGTGAGAAGATGTACAGTCTACTGCAAAGTGCTGTAGAGCATTACTGATACATATTACTGAAAGAGATGTAATGGTAACATTTAAATTATGGGCAGCTTCTATCAATGACTAGGACATTCTGAAAGTCCCATAATTAATACAAAATGTAAATAATCCACACACAGATAATCAAAACTCTACTGTAGCAATCCAGTAATAGTGCCGAACACTTCTGATGCGTCCCCTGGTATTTTAACTCATAAATGGAAATCAACCAATGAGCCACAACAGATAAGTCAGTATAGCAACTAGGCTATGTGCAGGACAACAGAGGCTAAACTCCTGGTAGGGGCAAGAGACTTTTCCCTTTTCCATAACATTCAGACTGGCTCTGAGGCCCACCCAGCCTCCTACACAATGGATGCTGGTACATGTTTCTCTGGTGATAACGCAGCAGGGGAATGAAAATGACCAGTCACCTACATCTAAGTGTAATGTTAAATGTTAAGGTTAAAATGGTGTAGCTACACCTTCACTCCCACATACATCTTCATGGTGTAATGCTTAATTGATCAAGACCAAAGAAAACTTTACCTCTACATGGACCTAACCCATTCAACCTATCACCAGCCATGTATCAAATCTACAAACTAACACAATTCTTACCTGAGAGTCAAACAGGGAACTCACTGGCTTATGATCACTGATTCGAAGTTCAGGGTGGCTCCTGTATGTAATTTGCGTAATTCCATCTCCCTTCCACAGGACACGGTCACACCATGCTGGTGCCCGGTTTTTCTCACTATCCACATACACAAAAAGGCATTCACATAGCACCCTAGTAATTACACATAAGAAAATTACCGATCCAACATTTGTGTATTTTATTTAATTTAACTCTTTTGTATGTAATCCTAACATTTGCCTTAACCCTCTTTAGTCACTAACCTAGCTGTGACACAGGGCTACTGACAAAACACTGTCACTGGTCCATGTGAGACTTCCACAGTATACCCATCCGTCCACATTCACAAATATGCTATTTGCGACTATGCACATGCATGGTCAAGCACATAACAATTCATTACCATGAATTCCCTTTGAAAGATTTACCTATAGCACCCCTTCATACATAGTGGAATGCGGTAGCATAATAGGTTGAGGCACTGTGCCACAAGATAGAAGGTCGCAGGCTCAATTCCCAATAAGCTCACTGGATTTATCAAATTAACCTAATCCTGCCAGCCATGCTATGGCTATGGGGTTGATTCAGCCTCTTAACCGAAATAAGTACCAGGAGTTTTCCTGGAGGAAAGGGCGTTTGGCATGTAAAGGTGACAACCTCACTGCCATTTGTGAGCCAACTGTCTAGAAAATGTAGAAGCCTCGAGCTCTCACAACCCCATGGGCCTCCACAGCCTGTTACAGGGATAGCGTTACTTTTTTTTTCTATTTTACCACTTCACACCCACTGCCTTTCTAGAACTGCTATGTTCCACGAATATGAGATAGTTTTAAATGTGTATTATGAATACATGTAATAAATTAAAAGATGTACTTGCTTGTTTTGGAAGAAAATATACATTTATGCATGGCAAAACTAAAAATAGGTGAAAAACAATATCACTGCTTCATACTCTGATTTTCATAAATCTGGATTCAAGATGTAAAACAAACCTTCACATGTTCCATTTAAAACATTAGTATGTGCTATTATAATCCCATTTATTCCTAATTAATTAACTGCCTCCATAAAGCACAGTCCCTACTAAGAATTTACTAGTTCCTCAGTCATGAAATTCTCTACCTTTTATGGAACCAGAAGGTTCATTAGTGTTCACTAGGCACAATCACTAGTTCCTAGTCCAAACCAAATTAATTCAATCCGTAAAATTTGAATTTCATAAGAGATTATGAGATTTCCTATAAGTAGTTTTCAGAATTCTTGGCCACCAGTAAATCTTTCACAGGGAAACTTCCTTGGTGAGTTCTACAGTATAGCAGAATCAACTCAGGGTAGAAAGACAGTACCTGGAATCCCAGTTGTCTGAACCAGGGTCATATTTATATGTAGGACGGAAAGTAACGTTTCCTTCCTGATAGCCTGCAAACACATTTTTTAAGCCATGCTGCTGATGGAGTTGATCATATTCCAGCAAAGGCAGATAGTTGCCCTTGTCAATATAGTCCTTCACTAACCAAGGGTCCAGCTCTGTTATGCGATAATTCAGATCTCCCAGCCAGTATACCTGACTGCAAACCAAAAATATAACTTCTCTATAGTTTCAATTATCTGCACTAACTGAAGAGAGAACATACATGAATAATGAAAAAACACATATAAAACATACACAATAAAAAAGTATTGACTAAAGATAATTGATATTACAAACAGCCCACTTTAATACCATAAAAACATTTTTCAATTGCAAGTATAATTGCAGAAAAGTAGAGTCTATATCCCTTAAAGAACGATAAGGTGAGAGAGACAAAAGCTTGGTAAAAAGAACATTACATGACAATGCTCATACTTATAAACCCTTAACAATTCAACAAGTAACACAAATTATAAGGGGGGAAAAGTATGGATAATCCACAGACTGGTAGATAAGCAAGAATATATTATATTTGAAGTGATTATAGGTAATTCCCCCTGCCAATTATGAAGTTCTGTTACGGGTTTGTCCTCCAGAATGATAACATGTCGCCAAAAATTCCTGGGATGTGAACTCCAAAATTCAGAAACAAGATTGAGAAAACACTCTGCTGCACTTACTCATGATCCTTGATGCCCTTAGGAGGCAAGAAACGTGTGAAACTCATCCGTGAGCAGATGTCATGGTAGTCCTGATTTCTACGCTCATATTCCTCTACATGTGCAGCAAGATGTGAGTTAACAAAACATAATGAAGTACTGTGGAGGTCAAAGCGCACGCCAACCCCACCTTTGTTGCCCTGAAACAATCACATACAAATACACAGTTATAGGGTACTTTCAGAGCAGCACATGTACTCAATTGTTAAGAAATCCTGTGTTTTGAAACCCAAAGTTACCATCACATATAACTGTAAATTAATCCTATGTGGGACCAATTCAAATCAGTTGACAGCCTTACAATTGACTTCCACACGACCCATTTTATTATTAATTTAGTCTATTTCCATTTACGAAATTGTGTATGCATTTGTTTCTTCCATGCACGTCATCTCACCTACTTTATTTAATTCAACTAAAAATCAAATTCAGTTTCTCTACTTACAAGTTCATTTAGCACATACCATTTTACCCATAATGCCCGTGCCAACAGTCTCTGTGGCTACAGCTCTGACATAAGCTGCATGCTGCTCCTGCACGAACACAAGCAACATCATTCCAACAAGCCTCACCAGAGCCACCTTGTGGTATCGTGCCTTCTTGTGCAAACCATTTAATACTGCCTCCCTGCCATACACACAGTCACAACATCAACTTTAGGCTTGAAATAACAATGCATATTTTTTTGGATATGTTTCAAGTACACAAAGAGTCCTCAAGTGCAGAATTCAAATATGTTATTGTCTCTTTGAAAGTAATAACTATATCAGTTGTTGATATTGAGATCTGACACCTAAGAGTTATAACAATGGAGCCAGAAGAAATCATTCGTTGTGTGGTAATGGTCAGTATATACACAGCAGCTGGTTCCCATGGCAATAGATATGCACTAAACAACAGAAAAGGCTGTTGGAAGTGGTGCTTTCAATTGACCCAACCCAAGGCTACAGAGCAAGTGTGAACTATACAACGTAGTCACCATCATGAGACAGTTGTGGGCACGAATTAGCTGTGAGATGGTAGCCAGCTGGTAAGGATATAAACAGAAGGCACTGTTGGGATCCGTTACCAGAACACAACCAGTGGAGATACAGAAGGCTTATCAAGTGCAGTAGTGAGAAGCAGAGTGTGCAAATTAGAGACAGCATTATAATTATGTGCAGTTATAATTTGTAAGTGTTCAATAAGTCCAATTACAAATCAAAACCCTGTGTCAGTCACTAAATCCGGACAATATTAAGAAGAGGGATGGGGATTAATGTGATGATCTGACCATTATGCCCAGTAATTTGAGTAATCCAGTATAGGTTCCACGACAGCTTTTCTTTGTGAACTTTGATCTATGTACTACTCCTAGGCATTTGCAAATCATAAACTGTTGTGAACTTCACACACATGATTTTTAAAATTCAAATTCAATGTGTTTAAAATAGTTATTGAATGAACTTACAACGCATTACTCTCCTTTAAAGGATACCATCTAAAAGAGAAGGTATCAAAATACAAGATATCCTCAACTCTAAGACAATTCTGAAAATGAAAATAAGTACCAGTAATTTAGAAAAAAAAGACAGTCAAACAAATAAAGAAATGGCAGAAAATGGAATAGAGAGAAAGGACATCTTAGGAAAAAAATTACTGTTTGACAAATAATTGCTCATACATTTGTTTCATTGACATATCTTTCCACAACCGCAAAGTTCTTAGTTTATTTTGCATAATCCATAACAACTATTAACATGGGGTAGGAGTCTGCATGCTATATAGATCAAAAGATAGGAGCCATACAAAATGTAGCCCCAGTCATCTATGTTCAGGGGTTGGACATGAAGCTAACAACCTCACTTCATAAAATACTGTGTGTTAAGAAACCAAATAGTAGATGCCAGGCAAAAATATTAGGGAAATGCCCAAAAGAAGGTTATTAGGACAATGCGTTCAATTTCTTTACTTGGGATATGCTATAGGTTTACTAAAGAGCATGAAGTCAAGTATGATTAGAATGAATTACACAAAATCCCCAATTTGCTAACAGATAATAAAAGGAGAAGACTGGAATGGTTGGTGCATGTGATTTGAATGGATCAAAAAAGTGTGGCTATAAAAATGTTTCGAAGTAAGCCAGATAAGGCCCAGAATGATATTGTTGGAACACACAGTGACTTACAAGAATTGAAAGTGAAGAGGTGGAGGTAAAAGGCAAATAGCAGAGAAGAGTAGGCATCTATTGTAAAGGAGGCCATGATTCTTACGCACTACAGAGCCAAGGAGTATGAAAATAAATAACTTCCAAACACAGAATTAACTGCGAACATACCATATTTTCTTGTACACCCTGCACAAATTTCTCAGAAATATTTGTGACAAAAAAGGGGGGTTCACAGCTTATTCACATCACAGTTAACATTGCTACTTATCTGGCATATTTAGCACTCCAGTGCTTCCCAGAAGGTAGCAGCCCATTCCTCTGTTAGCTTTTGTGAAAGTCAGTTTCACGTTGTGATTCTGAGTGAAAAATACATGAGTACAAAGGGTATGCGATTACAACTTTTCATGGTGAGTGAAATATTAAAGATAAAGGATAACGGATGTGTGGGAATGTATTTTGCCTGGATAAGAGTTCCAAAGAGTGCATCATCACAAACAGCCTTGATGGGTCAAAAGGCGATATTATTTGGTACAGTGAGGACAACCAAGTGAGCTCTGCTTATGATGATGATGACGATGAAAGAAATGGAGAATAAAGTCACAACAGAATAAGGATAAAGTACCACAACAAACACTAATATGAGGGTTGGAACTTTTATAGTGGCAACTATTTATTTACAACTGATACAAAATAGATGCATGTTTCTAAGTTTTACTGTCCTTCAATGTAGTCACCAGCATTGTGTACAACCCATTGCCAGTGATGTGTAAGTCGTAGGATACCTTTAGCAGCGTCTGTTGTGTTGATAGTTCGAATGGAGCAGTCTACTGCCTGAAGAATCTCTGGAACAGTTCTGAAGTGAATGCCACGAACTGGTTCCTTCATCTTAGGAATCAAGTCGAAGTCACAGGGGCTTAAGTCTGGGGAGTATGGTGGATGATACAGCACTTCCCAGCCCCATCAATCAAATAAATCAGCCACAGCATCCACTGCATGCGGCTGAGCATTGTCCTGCAAAATGATGGGTGGGTTATGCAGAGTGTAGCCGCTTCTTTCTTGAAGCTGGTCGCAGGTTGTATTCCAAAAATGAACGGTAATACTGCGCACTGACGGTCTGCTGTCAGGGAACTGTATGTGTTAGGATAACACCATCATAGTCCTACACGAGAATCACCATAACTTTCACATTGCTGGGGTTACTTAACAACTTCTGATTTTCGTGGTGACCCGTAATGACACCATTCGTTTGATTGGTGTTTCATTTGTGGTTCATACAATTTGGCCCATGTCCCATCCATCGTAATGATACGGCATAAGAAAGCCTCTCCTTCGCGCTCATAGCACTCCAAGTGGTTACGAGCGGCGTAGCCATTTCTGCATTTCTGTTAAGTGATGCGGAACCCATAGTGATGCAATTTTTCTCATGCCCAGGCGTTCCTTCAGAATGTGAATCGTCAGAATACAGTCGTATGTGCTAATCGCGTCTCTCAGGCCAGCTCATGAATCGTATGGCATCGATCACTCTCCAGTAACGCGGAAAGAGCATACACTTCTTCTTCACTGACACTAGGACGACCTGGATGATGCGTGTCTGCCACATTTTGGCATCCCTCGTTGGAGGCTTTTACCCACCTTTCCACTCTTCTGTAAGGCAATGCAAATTCCCCGCAAGCCTCTTGAAGACCTTGATGACACTGTTGTACTGTACGGCCTCTGGCACATTCAATCTTTACTGAAAACATCGTGACAACACTACATTAGACCGCCAGCTAACACGAGGTTCTGTTGTTCTTGTCACTGTGCATGCAAATGACGTGGGAGAGGAGAGTCCATTTGCTCTGAGGTAAGGTAGGTATGTAACTAATGTGTGGTATAAGCGACATTATGTGGTTCCGTTGCATGGTGTCTACAGCAGTGTTGCCACTATTAAAGTTCCAACCCTTGTACTATGTCATTTTCACACTGCAGAACACCAGGTCTCGGAAAATGTGAATGTAGCAGCACAAGAAATAACAGAAAAGTGTTATTTCTTATCATTTGAAATGTTTATTAATATCTGATGTTTATTTAACGTATAATACTTGAAAATTTGTAAAAACTGTCTTAAAAATTGGGGTGCATAGCTCATTTGATGGCGAGGGGTATTCAAGAAAATAGGGTACTAGTGATAGTGGTTATATTATTTAACATCATAAATGTAATAAACTGACAGAAGTATATCACCACCACCCCAACAAGACTGGTATGAAATTTCAATCCCTGAAGGAATAGTGCGTAACACACATAATTATAAATTAAAACTGCAAGACTAAAAAATAGAATTCTTCAGTGCATTAAAATAGTGGAGAAATCTAGGGGGTGTTCACTGTGCCAGTATAACATATGCCAAAGGTTTGCCTGAACATCTGGAAGGCTGCCTCAATCAAATACAAAATATAACAAACAACAGTCTACTTCTGGGAAAAAAATTTAAAGTGTGGTCTCATTAATATGGTCTCTAGGATCTTGAGTGAGTAACAACAATCATAATTAAGAAGATATTTTCAAATATAAATCTCTGTAACAACAAAACTGTATGAAGTGCAATGTCAATTTTAGTACCACCAAGAGGGTTGGTAACTCACTGCCACTCCTCCTCACGGGGTGTGTCATTGAAGAGGAATGCCTCCTTGCTGAGGTCCAGTTCCTGGAATCCAATAGCATAAATGTCTGGAGGTTCAGGATCTTGAGCAAGCCACTCGGATAGCCCAACTGTGGGAGGTTGCCCATTCACATTCCATGTCCCAACAAACACCCTGCAAGGTAAGTGGTAAAAATGTACTTCCTTGCTGGCTTCTTCTTCTTCTTTATTTTACCTTTTCCTGTATCAGGTATATGCGAGACTAAAGCTTTAATTGAAAACAAAATTAAGACAAGATCGAAATGAAAATGTGCAAAATTATGAGAATCAAGATGACAACCACAATTTTCTCTATTAGATCAAGTTCTTTATTGTAATCACTATTTATAACAACAGCCATTTTTTCACAATGCACTAAAGTATACTAGCCACCACTTTTCATATCAGAGCAATTTTCAATGAAAAATGTTCATAAATAATTGTATTTAAAATCAATCTACGCCTTGCTCTTCTATACCATATGAAGAAAAGGCGAGAGATAAAAAGAGAAACAGAGTTAGACAGAAACATATTTTGTTAACAAGATGGCTTATGCTAGCAGTCCCTACCACCATAATCCTTCTAGGTGAGGTAGTTTGTATACTACTCCACAAAGCAAAAATAATTCTCTGAAATTTCTCGAAGTTCAAGACTGAAAAATTAATCCTTCTAGGTGAGGTAGTTTGTATACTACTGCACAAAGCAAAAGCAAATATCTCAAGTATCTCAAAGTTCAAGAATAAAAAATTCATGTTCAAAGTGACTACAATGTGAAACCATGTGTCTGACCACGATGCATAGCATATTATAATTAAGAATGGTACTGTAGTAAAGGAAACGCGGAGAAGTATTAATATTAGAGAAATCAATAAGGATACTATATAGGAGTTTCAATTTCTATTAAGCTGGGAACAATTGGAATATATATTTGTCCATGATAATGTTAATAGTATGTTTAATAATTTTCTTAACACTTACTTAAGATGCTTCTATGCCAGCTTCCCAAAAAGGACAAAGAGATTTAATAATAACCAATGTAACTGGATTACTAATGGGATAAAAATCTCGTGCAATAAAAAGAGAGAATCAGTTCTACTGTATAGGCATAATCAGGATACTAATCTTGGATTATATTTGAAGCAGTACAGAAAAATATTAACTAAAGTGATTGCAACAGCAAATAAACTATATTATAATAGAATTATCTCTAACTCTGATAATCAAATGAAATGTACATGGAAAATAATAAATAAGGAAAAAGGAATCACTAAACAAGATATAGGTATCCAAGCTAGTATGCTTGATAATAAGCTAATTAGGAGTCAAAGGGAAATGGCAGACACTCTTAATAATTACTTTTTATCTATAGCGGAAACGATGAGAGTTAATAATAATACAGATATAAGTTCCAGTGCAAATAATTCAATTATGTGCCTACGAGATAATTTTAGTAAACCATTTATGAAACTGAAATGGAAGTACACTAATACTTATGAAATAGAGAAAATTGTTAAATCACTGAAAACGAAGGATTCTAATGGATATGATCAAATAACAAGTAGAATAGTCAAATCAAGTTTACCATTTATAATCTCACCATTGACACATATTTGTAATACTGTATTACGCCATGGAGAATTTCTGGATAGATTAAAATATGCCACAGTCAAGCCTTGTTTAAAAGAGGTAATAGACAGGAAGGCTGGTCATGGTAGCCGAGCGGTCTAAGGCATGCACTGTCTTCGCTCGCTCAGAAGCCAGGATCGTGGGTTCGAATCCCACTCAGGGCATGGACGTTTGTGTGCGTTTTTCTGTGTTTGTCTACAGGTAGAGGCCTTGCAATGAGCTGTTCACTCACCCGAGGAGTCCTACCAAATGTGTAAGATCTAATAAACTGAAGTGAAACGGAGAGTTTCATGGAGGTAGGCCTAGGCTCAAAATGGGGCTGTAGCGCCACAGAAAAAAAAATAGACAGGAAATGACAAATTACAGACCAATATCATTATTGACTGCATTTTCAAAAGTATCTGAAAGCCTTATGTATGATAGATTAATTACACATATTGAAAATAACAATATTCTGGTGGATGAACAGTATGGATTTAGATCTCACTCTTCTACTGAAAAAACTTCCTTTACATTAATTCATAAGATACTCATAGCTCTGAACAGCAAGAAAATAGTAGGTGGCATATTTTGTGATTTATAAAAGGCGTTTGACTGTGTCAATCACACAATATTAATGCATAAACTTGAATTCTATGGAATTACAGGGGAATTCAAGTCATTAATCAATTCTTATTTAACAGGCAGAGAGCAGAGAGCAGTACTTAGTAGTTAGTTAGTTAGTTAGTTATTTAGAGAGGGTGGGTTTCCCCATGCACCGCGACCAGTTTGATCTATTGTGCTTCCCTGTATGATATTCTACCAGTCTCTATACCCTACCGATAAATGGTGCGTACCATCAGTCCCGCCGAGCAAGTGAGTTTGGCCACTTGCTTAGCGGTATCTATAAGCTTCCCCCATCTATCAGAGGTCTTAGAGACTACTGTTGGCAGTACTTAGTAACAAATGTAGTAGTGATAATATATCTGATTGGGAGATAATTAAATGCAGTGTCCCACAAGGCTCTGTTCTTGGCCCCCTGTATTTTTTACTATACATAAATGATCTACCCAAAATAATAAATAATAAAGAGTATAACATGGTATTGTATGCTGATGACATGAGCATTATAATTACAGATCCCAATAAATTGAACTTTAAAACAAATCGTAACAGAACTTTTGATAAGGCAAATACCTGGTTTAATGCCAACTTACTCACTTTAAATTTTAAGAAAACTCAATATTTGGAATATTGATCTAGGAATAGCTGTAAAAGTCCAATGGTGATCATATATGATTAAAAGAGTACAGTTACAGTTACTGAGACTCAATTTCTGGGTTTGATTACTGATGACACTTTGTCTTGGGGCCAGCACATTTATTATAAACAAATTATCTCTGGCATGTTATGCAATTAGAAATATAAAGCATACAGTAACAACAGAAACGCTAAGGTTAATCTACTTTGCCCATGTTCATTCTATTGCTAGTTATGGAATAATCTTCTGGGGCAGTGCTAGCTTAGCGCAAAAGGTATTCATAATGCAAAAGAGAATCTTCAGAGTCACAATGAATATGAGGCCAAGAGACTCCTGTATGGAGATTTTTAAAAGGGTGAAAATAATGACATTGTTAATAATAAAAACTTATTTGAAAACAATAGTGAATTACATAATCATAAAATAGATTATGTAAAAACTTGCACCTACCTGCGGTAAATCTGGCCAAATTTGACAAAGGTGTCTATATCACAGGCGTAAGAGTTTTTAATCATTTAGTCCATTCAATAAAAAGATTGGTGAATGATGAGAAGGGTTTTAAATCCACTTTAAAGAGGCTTCTGTGTCACCATTCCTTTTACTCCATGAATGAGTTTTATCAATATACTGAGAGTTAGAATATACTATTTCCTGGTACTAAGTACTGTTTTAATATATGTATGTTTTATTATTTAGGTTTTGTATATTGACTCACCTGATATTCTGGGTATGAAGTATTAAAATGTTGTTGTAAATAAACTTAGAATATGTGTAGTACACATTTTTTAATTGCATATTATAAATTTAGATATCTAAAGCAGTATTATATGTTGTTGACTTGTGTTAGTCTTGTAGTACTAAGAATGTTTATTGACTTGTACTGCATCTGTAGGCCTTTGGCCAGTTATGGATTTATGGAACGAATAAATATGAATGAATGAATGTCAAAATGCTTACCTTAATACTTGTGTGTATGTGTAATGCTGCTCCTTCATGGCCATTTGGTACTTGATGACACTCTCCCTTGCTGCAATGGGTGTAGCACCCTTTGCAATACTTTGGCGTGGGACAGATATCTCTGGGCTTTCTAGCAACTGCAAATGCACAGAGCAGTATACAGCTCCTTCTCACCATGTTCATAATGTGATATTGATTTATTATCAAAAGTAATCATAATTTTAATGAATTATGTATATGCACTTACAGCATCAGTGAGAGACTCATCCTGGCCTGTAACCCCATCAATGCCTGGCTCCATCAATCCTCTTGAAGGATTATCCATTCCTGACCAGCTGCTTCCACTACCACTATTACTCAGACTTCCTGCACCTACTGCATATTTGTGCAGCCACTGGAACTCTGGAGGTGGGCCTCGTCTCTTTGTGAACACTGAAACATCAATATCATGGAGTTTCTATGGCCCAGTTGTAATGCTATGCTTCAGGAGATATAAGACCATCACCAAGGTGACCCATCTGATTACTTAAGCATGAAAGAACTGCCTTACATTAGTGCTCTTTATGATATGACTTTATTGTCATGCAACATATACCAAAGCATGTACAACCTGACCAACTTACAACTGGATGTTGTCAGCACATAATGTTAACAAACACTTTGGAAGACCACACTCAGCACTTATCATCATTCTAAGTATTATGCCTGTTGACATGCTACAGGTACTTCAAAGATGATATCTTAACAATGTCCTACCTCCAAATTAATATTTAATACATTTCTAGGGGGTGGGGGGCCCTATCACAGCTCATTCATCTAATCATACAAACCCTCCTGTGTAGTAAGTCCTCAAAAATGCCTCATATACACAATAGCTAATCCAGTGTCACTACATTCTATTTGCAGGATCGCCAATTATCATGTAGAACTTCATCAGTTCTCCACAAAATGATATACATCCTCAATGTTGAAAATGTCTTTAAATAACCCATAAAAAAGGGAATAGTATCCACCTGCTACATTCAATTACTCCCGATGCTTACCAACTACTTCATGAGCTGTCAGCCACAGGCATATCCCTAGTTCTCAATCCCCCAACTTCTCATAGTATGCACAATGAGACTTTCATCTCCACACATGTTCGTGACAAACCTTGCTCTCTCCTGCAACAACTTTCAGGATGAAACACAGTTCATATCGAAGTACTTTATTTACTCATGCTACTGTATTACTTTTTTTAAGATCTCATTGCTGTTCAGACACAAACCATAACTAGTTTTAACTGTAGATTTCATAACTGTCATTATTTCAGCAACTATGACATTTAAGTTTATTTTACAGCAGTAAATATCTCTAATTTTATAGAATCAAACAGTAGGATGATTGGAGAATAATGGATTGGAAAGGATTAGGGAGTTGTCATGGCCTAATCAAGGTCCTAACCCAGCACCTGCTTGTATTTTCCTCATAAAACCACAAAAAAGTATCAGGATAGTCAATGGTCCTACTGAATCTATAGCATTACCACTACACAAACCTCTTTGGTTGTAAATATGATCTTCTATGTGTATCATTATTAACAGATAGCATGGAGTTAAATTCCTCATCACCTAGCATGGCTGCTCCTTGTTTAATACATCCCTCCCTAATATGGAATCCATGATGTTACCTGTTGTCAATTATACAGGAAAATGTTAGCTCATCAGTTGTGAAAGTGTATGCAACCATCAGCGATGAGGGTTTTGAACTGAATTGAATTTATTTGCATTCCATAGATCCTAAGTAGGTTAATACCTCTGGATATAGAACAAGTCAAAATAATACCTACTGGTACAAGTAATCTTATCTTAAACTAATATAGCTTAATTCTACATTATTCTCTATTTACATTGAGGTATTCGTCTACAGAGTAGAAGGAATGAGCATGCAGATATTTCTTTAGCTCTGATTTAAAATGTTTAGTATCATTACTAAAGTTTTTGATATTTTGTGGGAGACTATTGTACACTTTTATGCCAGAAAAGTAGACTCCTTTTTGATATAGTGATAAGTTTGATGAAGGTAGATGGAAGTCATATTTTTATCCAGTATTCATGTTATGAATATTGGAATTAGATTCAAATTTATTTTTGTTGTACACAACAAATAAGAGAAGCGATAGTATGTATTGTGATTGAAGAGGTAGAATTTTTAATTTCTTAAATAAATCTCTACATGAATCTCTACTTCTACATTCTGTAATGATTCTAATTATATTCTTTTGTATATTAAAATTTTTATACTATGTGAAGAGTTCTCCCAGAATATTAATCCATAGTTCATAATAGAATGAAAGTAGGCATGGTAAACCATCTTCAGTGTTTCCTGTGGCATAAAGGGCTTAATCGATCTCATTGCATAGCAAGCTGCACTTAATTTAGGTATAGTTTGTTCTATATGTATTTTCCAAGACAGTGGTATGCAGTGTCTGTCTACTGTGTAAGCATAATGCAACTGAGAGTTTATTAAAATATATAAACCACTGACTCCTAATTGGGAGGTAGCTAACTCATGACACATGAGGCCAATAGGCCAATATTTCCAAACATATCCAGCCAAATGAATGGTCATTTTGAAACAGGTGTGTCCAAAATTTCATGGTGTCATGGTTGATGAATAGCCAGTTTATACTGCAATAAAACATTTCTCAGGAATAAGTGTCAAACACTGCTTTGGTGAGGTCCCCCTTGCATACAAACTCAATCTTGATGGGCACCAACCCTACAAGAATCAGAAACAGCTCAACAAATAACAAAATGTGGAGAATGTAACATTTTTCTCCTATTACCTTCAATTGCACGAAAGATCTCTCCTACAAAGTTGCTGGTTTTGATGCCAGGAACCATCTCAAACAAAAGTTTGAGTTTATGTGATGATATGTTGACATACACATCAACACCATCCTGATGCTTACTGTCTGTATCTGCAACAGAACAATTAAGTTTCAACACAACACTCAACATTACACAAAAGAAACTAATTATTCATTCACAGCTGGTAGCAACTCAGAATAAATACAGTATCTGATTGCAGAAGCAGGAGAAATGTCTGTTGATTGGTCGGGCATTGCTTTCACCAGTTATTTCAAACGGAATTCCACTCAAAACAGGATTACAAAAAGAAGACTCAAATATTTACAAACTTTTAATTGCTACTAGATAAATACCATACACCACATAAGCACAGTCATTCATGTATTAGTCTTGATATGTGACATGAGGTTTCATAAATAAATAAACCATTAGAACTTTTATACTGCTGGTAACACTGGTGAACTGGGACCTGCTTGCTCACGTGACTACATGTGATATGAAATTCTGTTGGCAATTACTACTTCTTGGTTATGATGCCACATAGTGTGACAGAGAGACACTGACATTTTTCTGCCACTTCATAGAATGGTTGTAAAATGAGACACTGAGGCAAAGTAAAATCTCAGATGTTTCAATGAAAGGTTATTGATCAACTAGAAAGTTGGTTTAATGTGAATCAACTTTTTGTTAACACTGACAAGACCAAAATATTATTTTTCCATGGAAAAGGATCTACTTCTAGGAACAGACCGGTCATATGTTTATTCAATCGGGAATTAGTATATTCATCTTCGGTGAAATTCTTGGGTATTGATATCTCTGAAAATTTGAGCTGGTTGAATCACACTCAATATATCTGCCTTAAGCTGAGCAAGGCCCTATATCTGATCAAATCCTTACGTAATTCTGTTAGTTTGCAGGTATTAAGAAATGTATATTTTACTAAATTTGAATCCATATTTAAGTATGGTATTATGTTTTGGGGTGGTGGAGGTAAAGAGATTGATACAGTTTTTAAAGTACAAAAAAATGCATAAGAGCCATTATGGGCCTTGATAATCGGGCATCCTGCTGAAGGCTGTTTGGTGAGTTAAAAATTTTAACTGTTACTTCTTTGTATATACTGGAGATTTTGTGTTTTATCATAAAAAATAGAATCTATACAACTCTGAACTCTGATGTGCATAATTACAATATAAAGCATAAACATAATCTGTATGCCCAACATTGTAATACAAATCGTTGTAAGAGAAGTGTGATAAACATGGGCATAAAACTATACAATAATCTTCCTATGGAGTTAAAGAATGTATCTGATTTTAAAGTGTTTAGGAGGAAATTGAAGTGTTATTTGTTGCATAGTGCCTTCTACTCTCTTCAGGAGTTTTTTTATATGTAAGATGTTGAATTAAATGACTGTAATTGTCTGTTAATGCATGTGCTGGTGGTTTTTTTATATAATTTATTTAAGTATTTATGTATTCTTTGATTATGTTAGGTGTGATTGTTATTAAATCTATATATTCTCCTTGACTTTATCCGATTGTATATTTTACAGTTATGGATGTAAATAAAAGAAATAAAAAAAGAAAAGAAAAGAAATAAAAAAAAATACATGGTAACACAATGTTGCTAAAGCTAACTGTAGACAGAACAGCTTCATCTTAATGTTCCATGAAGCAAGGGTGAAAAACTAATTTCAGAAGGGGATGAGAGGGTAGGGAGATGAAAAGGTTCCTTTAATGGCAGAAAAACACATACCTATGGGCCATAAAAGAAAGGTCTGATGGGGTGAAATAAGATAGTAGGTAGACTAAAGTTCACAGCATGCATAACTGGAGCATTAAAGAGATGGCTACTATGTACATAACAGTCCTTCAAAAACTAGGCTAATGATGTATTTACAAACACTGCAGCTCATCTGCAAATTTAATATTCCATTCCTCAATAAATGACAATGTAGAATTTTTCAGAAACTAATAAATCACACTATACAATATTGTACAGTAGATACCTACTCTTCAGAAAAGCTTCTTCTTTTAGAAAGCAACCACACTCTAGCATGCATATGGTACAACTGGTCAAGGGTATGAGTAGAATTTTCCAACACCAACACCATTACCAGCTGCCAGAACAATGATAATGGGGGATTTAAAATCCCCGATTCCCAGACTACATGGTTAACTACAATACACAAGAGGAATGAACAACATACCGATTTATATGACTGCAACATGTTCAACCTGTAGTCTTACATGTGAACTTAACATGGGGTGCTCATGTCCAATCATTAAGAACAAAACCATGTATAGTAGTATATATGGTCAAAATATTAAAGGAAACAATAAGCCCTTACATGATAAGAAGCATTATTATTCAAATTTTCACTCATGTCTGAGGTATCACATTATATTATGGGATGGGCATAGTGAAAGTAAAAACATTTTTAAACTGCAAAAGGAGGCCCTTCAAATCTTCAGTGGTGTTAGTTATCATATGTCACATGAACAAATATTTAAAGACTATGATATATTGATACTGTCTTCTTTATACATACTAGATGTGATGTTCTATTAAAAAATATAAAGATTCTATGGTAAAAACTATGGATATCCAAAATCATAATACATAAACAAATTAAATTTGCATGTGCAGCATTGTAATAGTTCTCTTAAAGAAAAGTGTGATTAAATATGGGTATCACTTTGTACCATAAGGTTCCAGTCAGATAAAATTAAGGGCAAATTATAATTTATTTAAAAATGACTTAAAATTATTTCTACTGAATCACTCTTTTTACTCTGTTGAGGAATTCATGTCGTTTTAAAATTTTCTTATGTGTGAATGTATCATTGTCTCTTGAAATTATAAAGATGTTTTCATGTAATTTTTATAACTTTCTTCTAGCAGTCTAATATGTCTAATATGTGGCATATTTACATGGGTTAGCCAGTATTTGTTCATATCAGCAAAAATATGTTAAATGCTCTACAGATCCTACCATTTCCTAAGTTCTGATAAATTTGGTGCCCTTATTTAACATGACAGGTTTCAAAGGTATGTAATTTTCAGATAATCATGATTATTTTACATACTCTATATGATACAGATACAGACCGATTTATTTCAGACAGGTTCATTAAAATATTTCTGGGAAAGAGCGAATCAACTGAATCCCACATACTTAGTCAATTAATAAATCAGTTCATATATAATCCATTCTTATGACAACAAAAACAGGACAAAATTAATTTCTGCATACATTTAAATTCTATAGACTGATAAAGCATTATGAAACAAAGCGATCATTCTCCACATCAAATCAAATCATAGGTTTCAAGTGAGTAAAATAATGTGAGAGAACTTGAGTTCATTATGAAAACAACAATCAAAATATATATTTACTAGTTCATTACACTGCACAAAGCATTCCTTACACAAAAGCATGAGTAACAGGAAAATGTATACTCACCAATCTCACATCTGAAATCTGCATCAATAGGAAGCACTCTTTCTATTGCCAAATCAGAAAACAGCAGAGGAGGCATACGTGAGCTCATGAACACAAACAGCGCGTGGTTGCTGTCATGCTCTGCCAGTGCAAGGACACGTGAAGTGCGCACCCAGCCTTGCATAAGGCTTGCCTCATGCACATACTCAATGTTAAGGAATAACAGTGTATTAACATATGTACATGTACATAACCTAATATTTACATTTGTCAAACATGAATTCAAATTCAAACACAGGACACAACAACAGACCAACTTACTCAGGCTCCAACTCTTAAACAATTTTTAAGATTATATCACGGAATTATCATTTTTATATCAATTTCTCCAAAGAATCAATATAAAAACAAATGTCACTAAATTTTTCATAAATGTTACTAGTATCTGAATTGCTCAGAAATGAAACATTCATATTTTCATTAATGCCTCTGCCACCAGGTAGCAGTTGTCTAGTAATACAAAATGCACACATACTAGATGCAAAGGATTGATAGGACTAATGATGGATAATTAAGAAACTTGTTTACCATTATTCTAATCAATCTTATTATTAAAAGGGCGAATGAAACAATTAAACTCTGCAAAGGATGTGGTAGGCCCATTCAGAGGGCCAACGCCTAAGCTATAATGGAGATATACCTGCACAGACTGAAACCTTCACCTTTGCAAAAGCTTTGGCTATTATTATGTGTAGCATCCTAGATTCTTCTCCTGACTAAGAGCCAACATCATGCTGCTCATCCCAGCCAAAGGTCATCATCCTTTCAGAATGTAGAAATGGAATACCTCACTGATGGGCAACCTTAGAAACGGATTATGCCATCTTGCCAGAAGGCCGAGAACACAAGTGCATGCCTATGCCTATGCCATAATACGAGGGTCGTACTGAGTCATGAGCAACAATTTTTGTAAAGTAACATGCTTTATTATTGACAAACCAAATACACCACCTCAATCTACAGACCTTTCTTTATTTTTTCACATAATCGCCACTTCTTTGTACACATTTCTCCCAGCATTCTGGGAGTTTGAAAATTCCCCTTCTGTAAAATTCCGTTCCAGCCATCTGAAGACTCTGATGCACTGCTTTCTGAATTGCCTCCCTTGTCTCAAAACGTTGTCCACGCAGCTGACCCTTCACAAATCCGAAAAGATGGTAGTCAGAGGGTGCCAGATCAGGGCTATAGGAGGGGTGTGGAAGAACTTCCCACCCCATCTTTGCAATTGCTTCCAATGTGAGGCAAGCGGTGTGGGGGCGAGCATTGTCATGCAGGATGATGTTTTGTCCCGGACATTTATCATGCAATGCATGACAGAGCTTGTGCAGCATCTGGACATAACGAGCAGCATTGATGGTTTGCCCAGGTTCCAGGAATTCAGCCAGAATAAACCCCTCTGCATCCCAGAAGACTGTGCCCATCAACTGTCTTTGCCTTCGTTTTTGATGGAGAATGCAAATGGTGCCATTCCATACTCTGCCGTTTCGTTTCAGGCTCGAAATGGTGAAACCAGCTTTCGTCACCTGTCACAATACACAGCAAAAAATCGCCTTCGTGTTGATATCTCTGCAGCAGTTCTGAGGTGATAGCTTTTCGCTGACCTTTGTGGTCTTCGGTCAATAACTGCGGGACCCAACGAGCACAAACTTTCTTATAGCCCAAGCTTTCAATCATCTCCTGTACTGCACTGTTCCCTATTCCAAGTTTTCGGGCTATTGTGTCCACAGTCACACGCCTGTCATCTTCATTGATCTCATCAACTCTTTCCTTGTTCCGTTCAGTTGAGGCTGTTCAAGGACAACTGCTCCGATGCTCATCTTCGATGCTGGTGTTCCCATCTTTAAAATGTTTCACCCATCTTCAAACACTGCTCACACCCATGCACACACTTCCATAGGCACACTGAAGTTTCTGGTGAATTTCTGCAGCAGGGATTTCCTCTTTCATAAGAAATTTGATGACAACATGCTGGTGAAATGACATATCATTGTAGGTCATTTTGTTAGGAGTTATACTGATCACGTGATGCAAGCTATTGATGTCATAAGACACTCAAGGTGAGCACAACAGCTGGTTCCACCTACCACAATACTCTCTTTCATCTACTGTTCCCATGTTGCATGCAAAAAAAAGTTGCTCATGACTTTCGGTATGACCTACGTACATACTACATTCTACATCTGTAGTATGTTCCTGATAATCCACTAACACCTGATTTGAGGATCATATTTGTTCATTCCTTCTCTTTTAAAATCCACCATCTGTTGTATATACTCAAAGTTTATAATATCAAGAGTTGTATGCATGCGTACTTGTGAACCACATTCCACTCCCTCTGACCTTTCCCATTCTGAGTTCCCATCAGTCTATTTTATGATACCATTCACATTTTGTAACCTTCTGTAAAGAATGTAGCACGTTAAAGAAGATGGAAACCCATTTCTCCATACCATGATCTAAAACCCACTATATTTTTCCTGTATGGAATGTGGCCACCTTCATATATGTAGGAAAATTACCATGAATTTTTAATATAATGTGTAACTTAGAAATATGAGGGCTATTTGTTATTTACAAGTTGCAAGGAGAAAAACTGAAGTTCACTACAGTACTGAGAATTCATAAAGCTTTGATTAATTATTAAATTTGCACATAATACATGAAATTTGTTGGTTTCCCAAATAAAACTCATGACTGAAAACTTGGTTCAAGAAGTCAAAGAAAAGACTTTACACGTGGAAGGCACCTGTGGATTGGAGGCGGCATCAGCTGGACTACATCCTTGTGAAACATCGATTCAGAAACAGTGTGAAGGATGTGAAGACGCTGCCTGGGGCAGATATTGACTCTGACCATAACTTACTGGTTGCCAAGTTTCGAACCAGGTTGAGGAAAATTATAAGATTCCAAAAGTGCAGACCTAGATGGGATTTGGAGAAGTTATATGCTCAAAGACAAAGCATGCAAGAGACCCTAGAAGAGAATCTCGCTGCAACTGAAGGTGAAAGCGGAACTGCTGACGTGCAGTGCAACA